CCTGACCAGAGATCAACATCCTCACCAGCCCCAGCATCCTCACACATTAACCTGCCCGAGCATCCCCACTCTGAGCATCTCCCCCTCCAGAGCATCTCCCAAAGCACGTGAGCTCTTAATAATTATACAGAAATACAAGTTACATATCAAAGCAGAGTGACTTTTTTCACAGACTTGTGCTTTAACTTACATTTGAGGACAGATAAGACAACACAGAGTTTCCTGAAGGCGTCGACAGTTGAGAGAAATCTTTGCACAAAATAAATTTCCATCACAATATATTTACAGTTTTAACAGTCATTTTATCAAATTTTAGTTCTTCAGCACAAAACTACAATATAACATAACTTATAATAGATTTGGCGAGCTGCTTGGAAAGAGGTGGAGAGTTATTCATGCCTCCCGAGTTTCAGGTTTGAGTTCTCTGGTCTAATGATTCTAATGTCTCCCCGTACAATCCAATCCAAGGTCCTCCTCATCACCTACAAGTCCCTCCATCACCTGGCCCCTCCCTCCATCACCTGGCCCCTCCCTCCATCACCTGGCCCCTCCCTCCATCTGCACTGTCCCACCCGCCGCTTCAGATCAGCCCGCACCAACCTCCTCACTCCCTTCGTCAGGACCAAGCACCGGACTTTGGGGGACCGAGCCTTCGCCGCTGCCGTCCCCTCCCTCTGGAACTCACTCCCACAATCCATCAGGAACTCGGACTCACTGCAGAACTTCAAATCACGACTAAAAACTCACCTGTTCAAACCGGCCAAGTAACAAAGCGCTGTTACTTTTATTTGTTTGTAAAGCGTCTTTGAGTGTCCAAAAAAGCGCTTTCATTATATGTATTATTATTATATGTATTATTATATGAGCCCGGTCAAGCAGAAGTAAACATCAAGGCCAAAAATTCAAGTTAATGCATCTGATATAAAAATGTATTGAACAGATACATATGTACTCTAGTTTATGAAACTGTTGACCTTTTTTCTGTACCATTTTTTGGTTCTAAAGTTCCATATGTTTTAAACAGACCATGTATGAAACATGGAACAAAAATTATTTCCCAAATTTCAAAGACCTGCAAAATCATGTCAATAAATGTTTGTATTTCATCATATCTTGTGTTATTCCATCTTTGAACTGTTGATGAAGGTACAGGATTTTTAAAAAAAAAGTATTTTAAATGATCAAAATTTGCTTGGAAGGACTGACATATTTTATAGAAATAGTTTCCTTTCATTTTGAAGTAATATTAAAGTATTCAGAAGAAAAAAGCGACAAATGATGTAAAATCCTGCACCTTCTACTTGTTTGTACAATTTTCCCTCCGTTACTTTTCCCTCCGTTACCATGACCTTTCTTAATAAAAAATCTCATGAGTCAAAAAGTAAGAGGTTTTTCAACCTAATCTTGTACCATATGGTAGAAAACTATATGAAGCAAATATTCAAACCAGTTTGTTAAGGATATGGAAGTGAGAACCAAGAGTTATCACTGTTTGGATTTATTGACCAAAAAGTGCTGCATATTTCATTCCCTCCGTTACCGACATGAGTTTTTAAATTTTTTTGTCAACAACTTGAAAGAATATCACAGGTTTAACTTGACCCTGTTGGAGTGTAACTCTTTCCTACATTCTGATACTTTACTTATTTCAATAGTCCCTCTAGTTTCTGAATAAGAGACATTTGAATGTCAAAAATCTGCCCCTGTTTCCCTCCGTTACCACTTGACTGTTCTGCCATTTGACGACATTTGACCTTTTAAAAGATAAAATATATGGTTTTTAATTGTTTATTGGTAACAGGCCTAATTGTACATCATTTTGAAACCCATGGATACAACAACAAGTCCCCCCCAGAGTCACTAACCGTCTGTCTCTGACGCTCCACTGTAACTCTGACTAAAATAACAGGAGCTCCCTCGTTACTCCAGCTGCTCCGGGGAAGACAAAGCTGCTATTCTCCACCATAAGCTCCGTGAGCACCACCTATCACAGGCAATGGCTGAAATGTCTTGCCCAAGGACACAATAACAGCAGCAGCAGGAGCCAGGATCAAACAGTCTCTGGGTTTGTACATGAACATCTCCACTGTGCCAAGGTCTCAGCGTTTACCCAGCTGTTTAACTCTTTTATTTTATTTATCGTCATTCACTCCACACAGAATGATCATTCTAGGCAATATGATGTCTTGCTTAAGGACATAACAACAGTTCTACCACTGCTTCCCCACTGTGGAACCTGGATTTCCCTTCAGTGACTTTATCCAAGTTAAACTGACTCCACTCTCTGTGTTTACAGGACACACACGTTACACTTATAACATTTTTATCAAACTCTCATTCAGATGTTATAGGCATTTTCATGTTTTTACGACATGGACGTGATCTAAAGAAACACATCATTCCATTTCACATTCCTCACTAAAAGAAAAGCCCAGAATTCCGTCTGTTTTTCCTCTTCTCTTTCAGATTGTAAACGTCTTTCTGTTGTATGTAGCAGCTCCTCACGAACTAACAAAGAAAACAAATGAAGTCCTGTGTTACCTGTGATGTCAACCACCCAACGTTTTATTTGATTTATTTTTTCATGGAGCACAGGATTTCTTCTGCTTTTGTTCTGTTTTGCTTCTCTCTGCGCTGAATTCCCGACTGTCCGTGAAAGCAGCACGCGGAAGCAGAGGGAACCCCGGTGATGACGTAGCTCCGCAGTGCTGCCAGAGCGGAGAATCCCCGTTCTGCCTCAGCACACATCACATCACACATCCCTTCTGCCGCCTCTACCGCCTCTGCCGCGCGTCAAACCACGGAAACGCGTCTGTCTCGCGCACAGAGCAGCGCACAGAGCGGCGCACAGTGCGGTGCTTCGGCTGTGCGTAAAGTCCAGGTCCAGTCACGGTCCGGCGCGCACACCCGCGCTCCACTTCAATAATAAATGTGAGAAATAGAACCGTGCCATCAGACAAGCCGCGCGTAATGAGCGCGCACACGAGCCGGACTCTCCTGTCCAAATAAGACTGGTTTAAAGGAACAGTGTGGAACTTTCTAGACGTGGCCCGTCGTCTCCATGACTCTATGGAAAAAGAAAGTTAAAGCCATACTTTGGAACATTGTGAATGAAGATTGACACATGATATACTATAATATATACTGCGGAATATTATTATAAACGTAACATTACCATGGAAACAAGCAGCACGAGGCCCTCCTCCAGAACAAAGAAGAGTCAGTCAGATCAATGTAGATGACCTAAAAATCACCCTTTTATTTTTGCCTGATTTTGGTTAAAAAGTGACATAATGCTGCTTTAACTCCAGTAACAGCCTCCCAACAAACCTTTACTCCAAAGAGAAAAGATTCACTTCAAAAAAGAACGAAAAGAAATCAGCCCGCTGAAGATAATTACAGATTTGGCCCCTGGCTCCTGGCCCCTGGGCGTAGGTCGCAGACGCAGCTCCTGACACAAAAGAGCCCGAGTTTGAATAGACCAGGCAGGGGACATGTAGCACCTGTCGCACCTGTCACTGCGGGGAGGGGCGGGGCCTACGCCTCCTGTTGTGTGGACGTCCAGAGCACCTGCCCTTTTACACCCGAGTGTAAAACATGTGCACACCTCTGGTTTGTACTGGTAACACCCCCCAGCCCCCAACCTCCACCCCCCAACCCCCCCAAACCATCTGCCGAGTTTAGGGCCATGGGTCAAATCCAGACTTTGAGCTTGTGACGTAGATAGTATTTGTTTTGTACATTTGATTTAATACAATTAGGATTTAATTAATTACTGATTTCCGCGCGGGAGGTGCGTTTAAGTGACTTATTCAGATCTTGGGAAGAGCCTGGGTGTTTATGACACTTCTTCTGCTGAACAGAAGCTTTATGGATGAGTAAATGTGTCAGATCAGTGAAGAGCGGGGACATGTAGAACCCGCGCGCACACGCGTGTTGCCTGGTGCGCACTGCTCGAGCTCCAGAAGGTGTTTCAAACACAGAAGCGTGTGGGCTTCATAACACCGTGTAGATTTGAACATTTACGCGTCCCGAACGCCCACGAGCGGCCATGTTGCTCCATCACGCGGATGTTGTGCGCGGAGAAGCTCCCTCACTCTCACTTTTGTTTTTGGGAGCTCGAGTGTAAAAGGCTCGGGCACGTGAAGGGTTAAGGAGGCGCAGTCAGACGCGCGTGCGGCTGAAGTCATCCGCTAGAGCGCGAGGAGGAGCGGCACAAGCACATCCCCAAAAACAACAGGCTCATCCAGGCCGAGCGCGCGGCACACTCCGCTCAGTCTGCCGCGCGGTTTTCCGACACAGATTCCACAAACAGGAGAGCGTCGAACGCGTCATGGCGTTTCTCACTCACGTCGTGAAGCTCGACAAGTCCTCTTCCTCACATCACCATCATCATCGTCAGGAGCAGCGGAGTCCAAGCGCGGCGAGGCGACTGTGCGCGCTCCAGCCGCTGTGAGGACGACATGGGACATTTGTTTGGATCTTTTCTGCGGTTCCATTTGTGATTTTGATTCTGTTTTTACGCGGTGTTGCACGTGCACCGAACGAACGGAAGAAAGAGCCAAGAAGCGGAGTGCGCGGAGGAGAGGAACCTTCTGCACTGAAAAACTATTTGGTGTGGAAGTCGTACTGTAGTTTTCTCCAGCGCAAGTTTGGATCATTCTACAATTGTGACACATTCTTCTTCTCTGTGAATGTTACTGAAACATTATCAAGTTGTGTTTTTCAAATAAACACGAACGACTCTTGAAATCAACCAAGATCCGGCTCCCTTTAGAGAGCCGTAAACATCATCTCTTGTGGAAATCTCATCCGCGCGCGCCCTCCCCCCAGCAAACGCGCGCACGAACCTGATACTCCGCCGCGCGTGGGTCTCACCTGGGGGAACAGCGAGCCGCCGGTGCAACTCGCGCAAAAGCAGCGTGGAAAGAGCGCGCGCAGGATCCACGGACCAGTGCCCAAACCGAGCGTGGACACGTGCGTAACGGACCTGAGCCAAGATGCCGGTGCGCAGGGGGCACGTGGCTCCCCAGAACACTTTCCTGGACACGATCATCAGGAAATTCGACAGCCAAAGTAAGTGTGAGGCTTCAGTGAGTTTCTGGAAAGAGCGGCTTGGCTCGGCGAGGTTCAGTTTGGATTTAATCTGAAATTATCTGCAACTTTTAAGGTCCTGTAGTGTGACCAGTGACTCTTTTGAGCTTTAATCCATGTTATAATGTTGTTCCCTCCTCAAAAACACACCTGGACTTGTGTTTTGTTTCATGAGTAACTCTTTATTTTTAGTCTGTCCACATCTCCAAACCTCCAAACGCTCTGTTCCACCTTGTGATGTCATGAAGCTGTAGTTTTCCTTCTTTTTTTTAACCTTTAGTCCAGTAGAAATTGGGCTGAAATGATCCAAATTATTCTAGTGAAGGTGTGTGGAGTTTAAAAACACAATGAACCCCTTCTGTATCACCACATGACATCACAAGGTGGAACAGAGCCTTTTCTGTTTGAGAGAAGAGCTCAAAATGTACAGGATTTGTGAATGAAACAAAACACAACTCCAGTTCTGTCCGTGATGAGGAAACAACATTAGAACATCAGAAACCAGAGTAACGCGGGCTCTTCAGATCATGAAGGATTGTGTTTGTGATTGGCTCAAAGTGGTGAACATGTCATACGGTTTGTAATAAGAGTGGACTTATGGGCGCGTACTTATAGCTTGTTTACATAACATTTACGCCGTACGTCCTTGTCGTCTGCGATTGTTTAGGTTAGACTGAAAATATCTGCGCAGCCACGTGAACGCGCGTCTGACCGTGTGCGAAACGACCCGTGTCTTTGCGACGATCACGAGCTCACCAAACTGACTCTGTGCGTAATAACTGGAATATTATGGTAACCCAATGTAGCCTGTGCGTAATGGATGTGCTCCTGCATGTTCAAGTTCACGTATTACGCTGTTTTCTGATGATCTAATGTTGTTTCCTCATCACAAACTGAGCTGGAGTTGTGTTTTGTTTCATTCACACATGTTTAACACACAAATTCTTCACATTTAGGCTGAGTTCTATTCACAAACTGATACAAACTGTCATGTGGCAATAAAACAAAGTGCTCGACTGTGTTTTTAAACTCCACACACCTTCACTAGAATCATTTGGATCATTTGAAACCTGCAGTTGCCAATGTGCCAGTGTCACCGAGTGCTTCCGCTCAATTTCATTTCTCTCCAGAGACTAGGTCAGGAACCAGAATACAACAGATGATTCGCAAAAAACGCAGAAGTGCGAGTTTGGTCACCAGCCAGTCAGAGAAGAGCCAGACTTTCTGTGTTGGCAACAATTCCCGATGATTTAAAGCTGGAACAAAGAGAATAGTTGGTGAATTTTATCAAGGGGAAAGACGTTATTGTTCTTCTTCCTATGAGATTTGGGAAAAGCTTAATATACCAGTTGGCCCCGTTAGCGGCGCATTACATATGACACGACCAAATAACAGAGACTGGTTAAATAAAAAAGTACCCGCCTCCTTGTCGAGTGAATGAATTCTAATATTGCGAGGTCAGATGTTTTCTACGGAGTGATGAATCAGACTAGCCAATCTCAACTTTAAATCCAAATCCATTTTATTTCTGTAGCACATTTTACATTTCACATTTTCCAAAGTGCTGCACACAGATCATAAAATAAAAACAACAAAAAGGTAAATTGCTAAAATTTGGTCCTGCCAGTCCTAAAACAATAAAACCAGTCAAATCAAAATAAAAGCAAAAACCATCAAAATCATAAAATAGCAGTAAATAAGTAGAATTCATTTCATGACATCACGAGGTGGAACAGAGCATTTTGAGCTTTGGATGTAGACAGACTAATAATTAGGGGTGTGTACTGCCTTGAATGTATGTCGACTTGATATATCACGATACTAAAACAGTAGATGATTTATTGTGATTTATAAATGATTAGGGGTATAACAATAACTGAAATATCATGATATCGTATCATCAAAAGTCTCACAATAATATCATGAGCTCTCACAATATATCGAATCACAAGTTCCTTTGCTTAAATGCAGGTTTTATTGTAGCAGCAGCTTATAAACATTGAGAACTACATTTCCCATGATTCATTTCAGTGCAGAAAACATGAAGAAATATGTTTTTTACTTGAATTCTTGGGATTATGGTGGAAATAATTCACACTAAAATCTTGTCAAGGTATTTAAAAACAAAAAAGTTTCCTATTTGCAATTATATCAGCCTCTTCAAAATATCACAATAAATATCGTACCGTGAGATGTATGTTGTGATAATATTGAGAGATTTGGATATTGCTACATCCCTAATTACTTCTAATAATATAATCAACTACACTTTCATGGGAACAAAACTGTATGAAATATAATTTATGTATTTTTTAAAATAATGAGAACAGTGAATGTGACTAATGATTTTTTGGGAAATATACTGTATTATTTAAAAAAAATGATTAATTGCATTTTGCATTTTGAATTGATTTGAAAAATTCTGCAGTGAAATCTCGCGATATATCACTGAATCGATTTTTTCTTACACTCCTACTAACAATAAAGGATTATTCAAACATGTGAATGAAACAAAAACACAACTCCAGCTCTGTTTTTGAGGAGGGAACAACATTCTGACTTAAAGCTCACACGGGTCTATTTTGTGTAATCATTTAGTGTAATATAAGATGTTTAAATAATAGTACATTGTTGTTATACAGATCCTGCATTGGGAGTTTCGTGATAAAAGGAGCAGAACAGGGTAGTTCCTGATTTCAAAGCAGCTTTTAGACTTTTAGACTTTTAGACATTATCGTGGTTAAGTTCAGGTTTAGTCTCGGTTACACACCAGTGAGAGTGTGTTCATACTTGCCGTTATTTGGTGCTAAAATGAAACAGTTTTTGACCTGTTAAGGACTTGTTCTGGTTTTGGTCTAATCTTTGTTTAGTTCTGATCTAGTCCAGGTTTAGTTTTGAGTTTAGTCCTGGTTTAGTCCTTATTTTGATGTGGTGAATATGTAATAAGTGCGAATTCATCCTAGTCTTGGTCTAGTCCTGGTTTAGTCAAGGCTTTGTTCTGTTTGGGTCTTGGTATAGGCGCAGTATAGACCTGGTTTAGTCCTGGTTTAGTCTTGGTTTAGTCCTTGTTGAGTCTTGAAATAGTCTTGGTTTAGTTCAAGTTTATTCTCAATAAAGACCTAATCTAGTCTTGACTTAGTCCTGGTTTAGTCTTGATTTAGTCCTGGATTAGTCCAGGCTTAGTCCTTGTTGAGTCTTGATATAGACCGCGTTTAGTCCTGGTTTAGTTCAGGTTTAGTTCAGGTTTAGTCTCGTTTTAATCTCTGTATAGTCCTGGTTTAGTCTTGATTTAGTCCCCGCATAGTCCTGGGTTAGTCCAGGCTTAGTCCTTGTTGAGTCTTGGTATGGACCGTGTTTATTCTTGGTTTAGTCCTGGTTTAGTCTTGGTTTAATTTCCATATAATCCTGATTTATTCTTGGTTTAATTTCCGTATAGTCCTGGTTTAGTCTCAGATTAGTTTCAGTATAGTACTAGTTTAGTCCTGTTTTAGTCCAGATTTAGTCTCAGATGGTTGTCTTTCATACAGTCTTGAGGTGTTTGTACTTTGTGTTGTGAAGATGTTGATTTCAGATGAAGCGTGTACTTCATGTACTTTGTGTACTGTGAGTACTGTGAGTACTCCAGTGAGGGTGATCTGTTTGTGAGCATCTGTGTTTTTTAAGGACACATACTGTGACAAATCAGATTTTATTTCTCTTTTATTCCAGTCATTTTATTTTCATTCGGTTTCTTCCTACACATTCTGCTGCTGGATTTATTATTTTCACCTAATCTTGTTTGTTGAAGCCGGGACACAAAGATGCTTTTACGACTTGTAATGTCACAAAATGAGCAAGAATTTCTTTTATGAGTCTGTATATCTTTACCGCTCGTACTGCGTCTTTATTGTAGATTGTTAAAGTAGAGGTATGTAAAATTCTTTCTGAAAATGCTTTCTGCCAGATTATAACATTGTTCCCTCATCAGTACGATATTTTATTATGATATTTTGTGGAGGTGAATGAAATGATATGTTACTTTTCTGTCATAATTCAAATAATTAAGATTCAAAAGGTGTGTAAAAGCAGTTATTGGATCATTATGTAGATTGAACTGAAACAGAGCAAAGGATCATGGTCTGTGTAGTTCTTCTCATTTTTAGCTGTTGCTGCACCACAACAAAGCAAATGAACTTGTAATTCGATATACTGTGATGACCCACAGTATTATTGTGAGGAACGCCGGCTCGAGTGTCCCATTCTCTCAGCGGGAACGTCCCCCTCCTCCCCGCGGGCGCCCCCTTCCCTTGGGCAGCACACCTGGGAGAGGGGGACGTTCTCGCCGCGTCACTGTGATGGATGGAGTTAGAAAATCAGCTTCTGTATCATAATAAAATGAAATGTGAATGTAGCGAAACCAAATGTGGGGCCTTGTTTTTGTCATTTTACTGATCTTCCCGAAGTCGCACACATTTTTTTTCAGTTTGTAATTTCAATATAATCCTCATTTGCTGGCAGAAGTTTACTCTGAAATCCTATTTTAAATGATTTCTTTCTTGTTCCTCATGTCCTGCAGCATCTGTAACTGTTCATTTGAGAAGAAATATGAATTATTTCCTTTCCTGCCGTGAACATCATTTGTAAGCAGCACAATACAAGAAGCTACAGAATTTGTTTAAAAATCATTCAGAATCACTTTTAGGCAGGTTTTAACTATGTGTTTCATTGAAATCATGATGTCAGATCAAATCCTGAAATAGTTGTAGCATGGTTATTGAGCACACAAGAGTTTCCACTGGTGGACTCTGTTTGAGACCTCGTCATGTTTGCATGTTTTGTTTGTATGTATGAACAAATATGTTGAGGGATATTGTAACTTTTGTGTGTAATTAATACAATATGGGCCCGGTCAAGCAGAAGTAAACATCAAGGCCAAAAATTCAATGCATTAATGCATCTGATATAAAAATGTATTGAACAGATACATATGTACTCTAGTTTAT